GCACCAATCCGACAGTCGATCTCCGGCTCCCTTCTCCCATCACTCGCGAACAAGACCCCGAGATACTTGAACTCCTCCACTTGGGCGAGGAACTCGTCCCCGACCCTGAGTGGGCACTCCACATTTTTCTTTATTTTTCTATATTAGCTTTTTTAGTTGTATTTACTCAAAATTACTTCTGTAATTTTCTCTTTTACAGGCCAGTCGGTGCAAAGTCGACTCTTTGACTTGTTTTACATCACAGCCTCCTATTTTCAATACCAATGCAGAAACGCCTAATCATGTTCTTTTATCTTAAGAAATGATAATTGTTTGTTATTCCTCTCACCAAAATCTCTTCCTTAGTAATGACCCATTCAGCGTTTGATGCTCACATGTGTGCACGTTTTGGCCCATATTGCTTTTATCCTGAATGAGCCACGATTCATGATTCAGCTCACCATTTGGGATTTGAGGGACAGACACTCAGTACAATTCAACTTTACTTATACAGCACCAAATCCCAACAAAAGAGCCTCGAGGCGCTTTATATTGTAAGAGTAAAGAACCAACAATAACACAGAGTATAAGGCGACTGCCTATGAGCAAGCACGTGGCGACAATGGGAAGGAAAAACTCCCTTTTAACAGGAAGAGACCAGCAGAACCAGGCTCAGGCAGCCATCTGCCCTCCATCACCGGTCAGGTGAGGAGGACAGGACAAAGACACGCTAATGATTAAATACAAAGTAGTGTATTAAGACATAGTGAGTGACACCCTGTCTACTTTTAAGATTAGGCTTAAAAGCTTAAAGCTTATAGATGGTGGATCACCCTGAACCCTCACTGCTGTAGACCTGTGCTCACCTCTATAAAGCACGTTCAGGTGATTGTTGTTGGTGCTGTGTGTGTGTTGTAGAAATAATTATAACATACTGTCAAATCTAAATCAACCCCCTACTGAAAACACAATGCCAGACGCTTTGCAATAGCAACAGTTAAACTACACCAGGCCCAATATGCCGAAAAAAGCACAAATGCAAATCCCAGTTCTCCTTCTTCTTCATGTGCACACCGTCTGCATCAAGTGTTCATCTCTATTTTACCTCTTTAGGTGAAACTTGGCTGTGAGGCACCCAATTCCAAAGTGGTGAAGGTGCCTGATGGCCCTCGGTGGAGCAGCACCATCAGAATCCAAAATGGGGGTGAGTGCAGACTTCTGGATTTTGAGTCATCAGATCGCCCCCTGGTGGTCAACTTTGGCTCAGCCACCTGACCCCCCTTCATCAGCCACCTGCCGGCTTTCCGGCAGTTAGTGGAAGACTTCAGCGACGTGGCTGATTTCCTGTTAGTGTACATTGATGAGGCTCATCCATCCGATGGCTGGGTGGCCCCTCCCATGGGTCCTTGCTCCTTCAGTTTCCGGAAACACCAGAACCTGGAGGAAAGGATGGGAGCGGCACGTCAACTCACTGAGCACTTTTCTTTGCCGCCGCAGTGTCAACTGGTTGCCGACTGCATGGACAACAATGCTAATGTGGCTTACGGTGTGTCCAACGAACGGGTGTGTATAGTGCAACAAAAAAAGATTGCCTACCTGGGGGGCAAAGGGCCATTTTTTTACAATCTGAAGGATGTGCGCCAGTGGCTGGAACAGAGTTATGGTAGACAGTAGGAGGATTAAAAGTGCCTTTTTAAAATGTTGAAAACAGATTATTTGGTTTTGTAAGAATGTGTTGTGATGGTATTCTTTACCATAAAGCTGTAACGAAGGGTCCCTTTTACCAAAAAAGGGGGAAAAAGGGCAACAGACAACTCAGCCAGCATCTTAATCAAGTCAACCTCACCCTCCTCACCTCAAGCCTTACCTCCTGAACTAAAGTCAAGTCTTTTCCATACAAATATTGTGCATAAACGTGCGTATTTATTTCAGAGTTTGTCCGAATTACTCACTGTCAGCAGATCAGACATGCGACCCGTCTCCAGACAGCTGACAGAGCAGTGAAACAACAACAGCAGTAGCTAGGAGGATGTTAGTCCAGCTGCACACAGAGAGGAAAGATGCTCAGTTTTAGTATTTCTTAGTTTGGTAAAAATGTTTTTACATCTCACCTGATGAATGTGTTATTGAGACTGAATCTCTAGAAGACTGCGAGTCAACTGCTTTCAAACCCTTGAGCTAACAGCCACATTAAATCTAGTGAATCTAATTTGATAATGAGCACTGAACACAATCCAAAATATGACGTGTAGGCACAGTGAAGAAGTACATACACAGATTATTGTTGAAAGCATCTGATCACTGCACATGTACTTTGCATGTAGACACAGACTGAAGTGAGCCTTTATAGTTGATTTGCATGGTTTGCAAAGGAAGAAGCACTTTTGTTGACTTTATGATCAGATCTTTTTCCAGGAAGTTCCAGGAAGGGCTGCATGGAAAATTCTAGGCAGAAGCTCAGGGGGATGATGGGTATTACCAAGTGCAAAATTTATTGTCAGTAAGTGAAGCGTGTATCTTTCCGAATGTTGTGAACTGAATGTTCGATGGTTCGTCTTGTAAAGTGATAGTTTGGTTAAACTCTTATGCCATGAGGAAACTGCTTTGGGTTAAGGTTAGGTTGCATCTGAACATTCACAATTTCACATTTAACTGGAAGTCCTTACCTTTCAAACCTTTGCTTTTGGCTCTTTGTTATAAGATATCCATTTAGATATGCAATAACGATGAACCTAACCCTAGCCCATACTTGTCATTGGTGACTCTGTGCATGTTAATAGACCTGCTGTTTCATCGATGTCACTTCCTTTGCACACTCTGAGAAAAGGCTTAAAGGGTCAACTTTTGGTTGAGCATTTCATTTGAAGTTAAAATAAATAACTGGCAGTATTAATGGAAATGCACCAGCACATTACAAATGTGGATAAAACGACTGTTATCTAGCTGTTACTCTGACAACAGGCTGTGTGTGCCTATAAACAAATCAGTCACCTAAGCTTTGTTCATGAACTATCAAGTGATCTGCACCTTCGGTCAAAAGTACGCCCCCTAACTAACAGAAGAGCTCTGTTTTGTTTTTGTTTTTTAATTAATATCTTTTCAAATATTCATTGATAAAATACAGTTTCTTCACATTAGCACAAAATGTTTAGAGTCAGATCTCAGCATCCTGCATACAGCTCTCTCTCTCATGTCTTGTGAAGAATTCATTTCATGAAGATTTCATTTTTAAATGCATATTTAACAGCTAAATGTAGATGTGATTTCAGATTTAAATCAAAATATGAACAGTGGAAGTTCAGTAACTGTTCGGGTGATTCTTTTCAAATGAAAGCTCCTTCGAACAGATGCTTTGTCCTGGTCACAGTGACAAAGGTGTGCAAATGAAAACCTTTGACGAAAGAGTCCACAGCTCAGTCTCTGGTTGGATGGAGAACAGCACCTGGTCAACGTGACGCAGATCCAAAGCATCTGATTTCATTGTCACTTTGCTAATGTCTCAATGACTGATATCAATAGCTCTATTGTCCATTCTCTTCACTGTACTTTGCCATTATTTGAAGCGTAATGTATATTTTTATATGTCGAAGGAAAAATAAGTGGAAAATAAACATGAATGTGTTTGTGTGGAATTCTTTTATATGTTGTCTCTGCACCCAGTGCACAAAAAAGTCCTTTGCTTCAGCATTTCAAATAAACAGTGTAATGTGTTTACTGCAAAACTTCGAAGATCGAAGATGCATCCATCACGTTCCTCTTATCCTTGTCAGGGTCGGGGGTGGGGAGCATGTCCCCTGGACAGGTCACCAGTCTGTCGCAGGGATGGATCGAAATTCTCCTTTTCCAGAAATCCAGAAAGGATTTTATTTACTTTCAGTGGGACTTTTTTTTACTCTCCAAAAATAAATATGAATGATGAACTCGTACTGGGAAACTGGTCATGCAGATAAGTAACTGCAGGAGCCGTTTAAAAAGTCCAAACACCACGAACGTTGTTAGACAGAGGGGAGTTTTTTCAACTTCTATTTCCTAATTTATTGATGAATCTTAGCAAACTTATTAACTAAAACTATAAAGTAGATGTGTGATATGTTGGTAACATGCAGAAGGTTTGCAAAATGAGGTGAAATCTTGCAGACACTCACCTGATCTACTAAAGCACAATCTTGAGAAGTCATTGATCCACGTTCTTCAAAACACTGTGTGCAAATCAACCTCTAATATTCTCTCCTGTTGATAATGAGTCCGTCTCAACATCAAAAGTACATCTTCATTTGCTGTCGTCAGCAGCCTAAAGTAATAATTATAAGAAATGCTTTCATATAAAGCTGTTAACAGCTGCTCCACCACATACTGCAGTTCTGCTGTTGGAGGTCAGGTACAACACTGACACCATGAGGTCAAGTGGGGTCATGTACAAAACTGGTTGTTTTATTTTTTTTGATAAGAACATTTTCTTAATCTTTGTTGTTTCACCATCCAGCCACCATCTGACAGAAGTTCTTACAAAGGATGTTTTACACCTACAGATGAGCACAACCAGCTGTCAAGAATTAGGAGCTTGGTTGTTTCTGCTCTTGATTCTCTTAAAGCTTGTGTGGTGAACACACAAACGTGACAAGCACACAGTGTTTGGGCCTTTTAAGGATGTTGTTAGCATGTTTAGATAAATGTCAAAGACTTCACAGACCGGGCTCTAGGCGTGTGACAAACGCTGCAGTCAAGACTAACTGCTTACAACGAGCTCCTGTGTGTACACTCACATCTATTAGAGCACATCCTGGTTGAATCAAATATTAACGATCCTGTTTGTTCAGCTTCACTTATTCAGTATTTTTAAATAGCATCCCCCTCCGAGCTCCTTATTTTCTTTTCTCATTTCATTGTATCCATAGTGACCCAAATATTCTGACGAAGCTTACATATAATGTCATATTAGTCCAAATGAATGTATACTGATTATATACAGGACATATTGTGTTTATATGCTGGACACATTTATGGGCACACTGCTAAAAGAATGTGGTTGTATACAACTCAAAAAGATTCAGGCTTTCATGGTCGCGGGTCTTCTCTTGTCGGCTTTTTCTCCCTCATGTCTGTGTTGTTACAAACGTTCCCACATCCTTATTAGTTACCCACCCGTCAAAAATCAGCTGATTAACTCACCTGCTCCTCATTGGGTCGTTGTGCCAGCTATTTCTATTGGTATTCTATTGAACACAACACAAAGCCATCTTTGACACGTTAGAAGCATCTCGACCTACTGTGGTTTTGTACAATCCATCAAATCCACCAAGTTTTTATCAGAAGCGATTTTTGGTTGAAAAATGATGTCCTAGTTCAGCCGAAGAGGATAGATAACTTTTGTTGTACCAACTCTTTGTAGCTCGATCAAGTTTTAAGGACTGGCTGTGGCAGTGATTCTCCGTAGATTGTTTCCTCCACCGTGGTGGTAAATTGGCTCCTCTTGTTTGATGTTTGCCTTCATATGTTCTGCTTGGTTTTCATCTGGTCTCTGGTTGACTATGAAACTTACCTGCCTTGTCCATGGCAGTTCTGTTCACTGCTAGACCCAGTCCAGCTATCCACCTCACTCCAGTAAATACTACGCTTTGGATAAGCAGTAGAGAGTGAGCACTGACAGTCCTCTCCCTCTCAAGACTCAACCTCAGACTCTTCATTTATAGTAACGGAAGCTGATGAAGGCCTCAAGTATAGCAATGATTTAGAAACACCTTAGCTTTCTCTTATAATGAAGAATGCATTTCTTAAAAATATGACTGTTAGCATGTTGTATTTCCATAAAAGCAGAGGTTAAAGTGGACCGGCACAATCTGGAACAGCCTTCCAACACATTCAGGTAATGAGCAATTAAATCTGATAGGCAGGTGAATGCATACTGCTATTGAATAAATCTTTCATGTGCTGCAGCTTAGCAGTCCTCCCAGTGATAGCACTGAGATACATCCTCTGTAAATAAGAAAGCAATGACATCCCACAGCTAGCTTACACTTCCAATACACCCTTTGTTCTCCCCCTGAGGTGCAGATATAAATAAATTTGAAGTCGGAGTATTTCAGCATTTAGCTAGTACTACAAAATAAGAGCAAAGATAAGCAGAGTAACATTTTTTAGAGCGTCAGGTAGTTTCACATGTAACTTTTCAAACATCTCAACAAATGCAGCCAGTTTGGCACAAAAAGTATCTGTTAGCCAAAGTTTAATGCTGCTCGGAAAAAAAAGTGCAACAGTGAGAGATGAAGAAAGACGGGACAGGACATTTACTGCAAGCTAAAGTGGTTAGTTTGCATTACTATGGTGAAATGCACAGCGATGTACTGTGATGGGACTGGAGCAGGAGCAGGCTGTGGCGTTCATGGTCAATATTAAGTTACATCAAGGATAACCGAAATCAATTTATACTTAAGGTAAAGACCAAGATGATCCAAATGTTACCTCTCGTACCTTTATGCTCTCGGAAATCAGTCATACAACTCATGTAACATGAGGTTACATCTTGTTCAATTCACTTGCTTGAATCCACAAAGAGCAGTGAGATGCGAGTAACAGCAAACTGATCACAGCGTGAACACAAAACTCTGCTTAATCTCACAAAGAAGTTGTTATGACTTAATAAACGTGACGGGTTTTGCCCCCATGCTGCACCGCATACCCAATGTTATTCTCCAACGATATCTCCAAGAAGTTTCACCCTCAACATAGTGATTAACCTGCAACACTGAAGACACCATGAAATAATAAATATGGAGTTTTCTGTGAGCTGAATATAATTCGACCTAAAGCCACAGTTGAGTATCTGTTGGCAGCACATCGAGGGCTGATCACCGTTAGCGGGCCCGCCTCGAGACTTACTGGGTTGTAATTTTCCAAAGGCTACAACATGTGGATATTGTACTGTGTACCTGTCTCAGTTAAACTGTGGGTTTTTTTTAGAGGTAACCAGAATGTGTTAATTTTAGCTAATAGAAAACTTAAAGATAGATTCCTTGTCAAAAAAAGAAAATTACAAACAAAAATGACATGAATAAAAAAGTTTTTCAATGCCAGTAACTTCTTTCAGCATTGTTGTCATGACAATTTCAGTGTCAAAGAAATGAAACAAAACAAAAAACCAAAACAAATATACAACATAGATGATGATTCACACAGAATGCTCAAAAGTCTCCTTATTTTGCACTTTCACAACCTCAGTCTCAGTTCTAATTTCCTTTTCGTCAGAAGAATGTTAAATGCTTATTGTGGACTCATCTCTGTGCTTGTCCTGCTAGACCTCAGTGCAGCGTTCGATACTGTCGACCATAATATCCTATTAGAGCGATTAGAACATGCTGTAGGTATTACAGGTACTG